GAAACCATCAAAAAGCTGGCCTTGCTGCCTGCCCGGTTGGATGAACTGAAGAGATCAGCCGCAAGGTCAGGTGCGCTGACCGTGCTAATTCGGGCCAAGGCGTGGATTCCAGATCTTGAACCAACAAATATCAGCAAAGGTTATCCTGGTGTGAAGGAAGACGGTTCAGATTTCAACAATGACGATCTCCGAAGGCTGACAAAGGAAATGCGGCCTATATCAAGCAAATTGGCGGATGACACGGATCTATCTCATTATCAACCGGTTTGTGATGTTGAGGGGAAAAGACAACCCGCGTCGATTCATGATGTAGAAGATCTTGTTCTGCCAATTCGTAAGCATACTTATGCCCCTGACATTAACCCTTCCAACCTAGTACATGAAGAAGCCGTTTTTCAAGCCTTAACTGGAATCGATTGGTCATCGATTGATTTCCAGCGACTGTGTGGGGATGAGGAGAATGCACCCGCTCAAGATGACCCTCAATCTTCAAGCCGTCTAGATGAAGAATCTTAATCTGAAAGCTGGTTTAATCATTTGCCAAACTTGTTGAAACAATTATCTTGTGTGGGCACTAAAGCACCTTGTAATAGGCTAGTTCAAATACTTATCTGCTTATGCCATCGAGCATACTTGTTTTGCTTAACATTGATAACTCGCCATGCTTTTGGGATCTATTATATGCATAATCCACAGTGGCTTTATTTAGCTTATTCCTGCAAAAAATTTGAAAGTGTCCTAGCGGTTTACCGCTGGACGGGTCATGGTGCCCAAACATATATATAGCCTGGATGTCGAACCAAGGCTGTAATATGTAGATATAAAATAGATGATACATGTGGTATATCTCGTTTGGCTTACCAACTGTTGTTATAACAAAAGGTGATAACACCAATCTGGAGTGTTGATGACTCCTTGCCTCCTTGTCGGTTCATACCGAAATCTTTCCAGGTGATGGTAAACACCGGTTTATGCATATAATTGTGGTGACCTGTAGTCAAACCAGACCGGAGCAATATTATTGCCGGACTAAAACTGACCATGTACTGACAACTTAATGTTGAAAGCCATGCCGGGTTGTAATAGACACTAGTTTATCAGAAAATATTCATAAATCCCTTATCAAAAGATGTTTAAAACAGCAAATACAAAAAGAAATATGCAAGGCTTTTCATGGGCTGCCAGGCCGCTGAGTTAAACCGTTTTTCAAAGCCTTTTAAGATGGACCTCAATATTTAACCAATCATCGTTTTAACTTTGACAAGTTCAGGGTCTATGAGATTGACTTGTCAAACATTCGATGGGTCATACCAGGTTTACCTGGACGGAGTGGCTTACTTAAAGAGGCAGGATAACCCGGGGTTTTAGGTGAATACAGCTGGCTTCCAAGCCTGGCTTGATAGCCTATTACAAGGGTGCAAGCTCGTTGTTCTTTGAGAAGCAAGGAGCCCCCAAGTAATATTTGAGCTGTGCTCAGTGGGTACCTATGTTTGAGTTGTGCTTTTTGCAACAGACTCTCTTTGGTTCCACATAATTTCCTTTTTGGCTTTAAACCTATCAAGAGGTGTAGCTATGGTGTAAATACAACCAAGCCCCCTAGTGATTTCCCTATTTGGCCTGAAGCCGATCAAGAGGTGTAGCTATGGTTCGAATACGACCAAGCCCCCTAGTGATTTCCTTTATATCTGTGTGGCTTTATAAGCCGGGTGAATAGAACTCCGCTTTGTAAGTGGAAGCCCCCATGTAACCACACATGATGTAAAAAAAGAATAGAGACCCCGCTTTAGCTGAGGCTCCGGTTTATTATATAATATATACATTGTCATAAGTATGTACATAAGAAGAGCATGTGGCTCAAGTATAGTAAGGCCGAAGAAGAGCTATATTCCATGGCCGCTGGGTCTCCTCCTCTGATTTGCATGAGACTTTGTGCTCTCGAACATCGATAAGGTAGTATGACCCGTTGTGCAGGTTTTTGCTGACCACAAAAGGTCCTTCCCAAGGTGGGGATAACTTGTGCATATCAGTCTGATCCTGGATGAGCCGGGGCACCAGATCGCCCTCTTGAAAAGTTCTGGTCTTAACCCGGCGGCTGTGATAACGTCGGAGATCTTGTTGATAAATCGCCAACCGCGCCGCTGCGAGATCACGCTCCTCATCTAACAGGTCCAGTGAGTCCTGACGTGCCTTCTCATTTTCAGCTTCAACGTAAGCCGCCACATGGGGAGAGTCATGACGGATGCCCCACGATGGGCGCCAACTGTCGTGGTTTTGTCACGGCAGATGTCCTCGTGAAAGGACTTAGTCGTGGAGCCATCGCTATGGGTTAGCTTAAAGGGGTTAAACCGGACAAGGGACACGAGAGTTTATACTAGTTCGGCTCCTTACGATGAAGGTAAAAGCCTACGTCTAGTTGTGATGGGATTGCTGGGGTTTCGATGACCAGGGAGCGAATCCGCTTTGCCTGGCTCTCGAGTTGTTATTCTCTGTCCCTAAACCGCTGACGGGTCGTCCCTTTATATACATAGGTTGACGCCTGCCGGTTTACAGAGTCCCGAGGCCAAATCATAAACGTGTCCAGATCGGTCTCTATTCCTTCTAACTTACAATACAAGTTACATATTCATGCCGGTTTATGTCTACATGCCTTAACCCGCCTTTGGGCCTTAGGCCTTCCTGAAGCGCCACCATCCTTGTCTTCATGGGCCTTTGAATAAAGCAATCATCATGGGGATAATCCGGCCTCTCCTAGCTGGTTTCTGCCCGGTGGTAGTATCCCCAACATAATGGATGTCTTGTATTGAGAGATATACCTTGCTAGGCAGACAGACTCAATCAATGCCTGAATGAACGAAGCATATATCAAGGACTTGTTCTCCTGCACACATTGACGAAGCTCATAGAAGGTGAAGTCCAAGACATTCACTTTCGTTTTTCTCATGAATTTACATGAAGATATCCAACATCAAGCTCCTCGTGTTATGTGAGTCACCGGCCTTAGGATTGAGAGTGTACCTAAGGATGTGACGCTTCAAACCCATTAAGCTACGGGAGAATGGCGACCAACCAGCATAGCCATGTGGCGCATGCTGGTTGGCCATGGCAAGAAACTTTTTGATTTTTTTGGAAGATGAAATTAAGAAAAAAATTGATTCTTTTTGGAAGATAAAATTGAGGCCTTTTTTTCCTTTTGAGAAAAGTTTTTTTGGAGATTATGTTTGAAAGATGAAAGTGAGACTTTTGTTTTTTATTCTAAGAATGTTCTTTAGGCTTTTCCTTTTTCTTTTTGAGATGGATGTGATGTTCATGTGTTGTGAGAAAGTTTTCTTTTTAATTTTGAGATGAAATTGAGGTATTTTCTTTGAGAGGAAGAAATACACGCACAGCTTCATGTCAAGAGACCCACAATGGCGGGCCCCAACCACTAGTAGTATCATTACACTGGCAGCAACTCCTTGATAGAACCGGTGACAAAAGACTCCTATTTGTAGGCAAACACAATCTCATCCATGTGACGCTGCCCAACCTCATGGACATGACCAAAGTCTTCATTCTCCTCCTCCAGAAACTGATATGGAATGACCTCGGAGAACTTGGCCATAGAGGCAGAGCACTGGCGACTCCCAAACATCCAGGTGAGTGTGTGGGTAGTGTCATTGGAGAAGAAGACATACAATGGCAAAGAACTACATAACAAGGTCTTTTGCTGCTCCTCCACCTATAACTCTAGCGGTTGATACCTCGCCAGCATCCCTAGCAAAAGCAACACAAAACCGTCATAGATGCACACCATTGCGTCCATGGGAATCACAAACCCCGAGCACCTACCAGTGTGGAGTTGAATCCATGAAATCCCCGAACAGCGCCACTCTAGGCGTGCTGCCGTCGAACACTGGGTTTAGATGTAGGGTTGTGATGCCAGACACCCTTGAACACCGACTACGAATGCATGTCGATGTAGCCATGACACCCGGTCGAAGCATGACCACCTCTACAGGTGTGCTACCCGTGGTACCCCCTGATTAACCACTACAATGCAGCGGAAAACATGACAACCCTCGAATCCTTGACAACCAATGCGAGAGCATGAACACACCCCTATGAACACACGCATACCCTACTTTTATGAGCACCTCCGGAAAACTGAACCGTCACATTATCTTGACGAAGTCATGACAAATGCCTCCATTGTCAATGGGGTCGTCTTTTTCCATTTAAGGAATATCACCGGAAAGTTTGAAATAAATTCAGAAAAATGCGAGCATCGTAAGTCTAGAACTTGAAACCCGATGGGCTGGTTTCACCACGAAAAACCTAGGCATCTATACTTTAGAATTGCCTAAAAAAGAGAGAAAAATCTATACTTTAGAATTTGGTAGACATGTTTGATGGTCTGATATGCTATCAGATACTGTATTCCGTGCTATCAGATATTGTATTCCCGTGAATATCATGACTTGAATAAAGTTTTCAGTTTTGGTAAAGCATATCTAAATATGCCATAAATATTACATATCTAGATGTGCCATAAATATTACACATCTATGTCCTAAGTTATTGATCTTACGCCGAGATTCGTGTGGATATCTTACTAAAGTTTTTCACCGCTCAGAAAAAAAAACTCTGCCGATTCGCCCACGACGTAGTCAGGTCAACGCACCTCTCGAGCTCTCTCGCCCGAGACCGACGCCGGCGGTGCCGCACGCCGCCTCCGTCTCTTCTCCCCGACCCTACCTGCACATCCCCGCCGTCGATATGCTCAGCCCCGCCGCTGTTCGATCTCCTAAGCTCGGCCGCGTATCTGCTCAGCCCCGCCGCCGTCGGGCGTCACCACACCTGCAGCCACCATCGACGCTGGACCACGGCGAGGCGTCGATGCCCTCCATGGCGGGAGCTGGGATGAGGGCGTCCATGACGGGCAGGACCCCGTCCTCCCCCAGTCTCCCACCTCCTCCCTTCAGCGGCCCGACCCAATACGATGGCATCACTCCATCATCCCCATGGCCGCCGCCTTCCTCGGCCGGGGACAACTTCGTCCCCGGGGCCGCCTGAGCCGCTGCTGCGGTACGCCTCTTTATCCACACCCTTTCCTGGTCTCTTCTCTTCCTTTCTCACATCACAGTCTCCAAATTTGTTGTTGCCCATGCCTGATTTAGGAGAAAACAACGAGCTTGTGAGAAAATCTGTCCGGCTCTGTTTGTTTCTACAATTGGCTCCGAATCACTCGTGGACACTTGGACGTGCTTCAGGCAATTGCACTGGAAATGGCCCGAATATAGATTCAGCTTCACTGGCAAAGCTGATTCCAAATGGCTGTTGGTTTCAGCTTTTGATTTTTCCTATGAGAATTCTGCTGCCTAAAGCAGAAACAAACACGGCCGGATGGTTAACTGATACCTTGATGGCAGTGCATCTTAGGAAATTAATTCCCTTTTGTGTATGCGTCATCAAGTACAGTAGGTCGTAGCACGTCAGGGGTTCAGATATGACACATGACGACGATTGCGGCTCCGGCCGCCGGCAGTGATTGATTTCGTTACCTGTGAGATCATCAACGCCTGCAACTTTCCAATTTCTGACTATAATATGTGCAAATGTGCTGATCGAGCATGTGCTGTTAATCGTTCCATCCAATCTTGCTCGTCAGATAGTTTATTCTTGAACTTGGCCACCAAGCTGCCTCCTTTGTCTAACATGACATGACGAGATTCTTTTACTCCACTTGACCCAGGCACGCTGAAATTGACTTGTTCAGCTTGCCTGCCAAGCGAGTAACTCTGTTTCCTCTTGGTTCCTTACTGAATTTGTCCTCGAGTGGCCGGCCTATACAACATTATTGAGGTTGATTACTACTAGTATATTCTTTCACAAACATGATAAATATACCCCCAATTCACTTGTTAACACCTACCTTGTTCAGAGCCAGAGCGTGAGATTTCAAGTATGTTGCCAGCCATGGAGGAGCCCCTTGTTGGGGGCAACAGCAGCACTGAGGAGACAGGAGGGGCAAAAGAGAGCTTGGTGGTGACCGAGGTTAAGAAGCAGCTGTACCTCGCCGGGCCCCTCGTCGTCGGATGCCTGTTGCAGAGCGTCGTGCAGATGATATCGGTCATGTTTGTCGGCCATCTCGGTGAGCTCGCTCTCTCGAGTGCCTCCATCGCCACCTCCTTTGCCGGTGTCACCGGCTTCAGCTTGTTGGTATATTTTATGTGAATTCGTCACCTCTCCTACATATTTTGATCTTCATGAATGAACAACTAACATCAACCTGAACATCTTCTCTTGTATCTGTTTGTAATCATCTTAGTCTGGCATGGCGAGCAGCTTGGACACACTGTGTGGGCAAGCCTTCGGGGCAAGACAGTACCATCTGCTTGGCATCTACAAGCAGAGGGCAATCCTTGTGCTCACTCTGGTGAGCGTTGTGGTTGCCGTGCTCTGGGCGTACACCGGGCAGATCCTCCTGCTCTTCGGCCAGGACCCAGAGATTGCCATGGGGGCAGGGAGCTACATCCGGTGGATGATTCCAGCACTGTTCGCTTACGGACTGCTGCAGTGCCATGTTCGGTTCCTCCAGACGCAGAATATCGTCCTCCCGGTGATGGCGAGCGCAGGCGTCACGGCGCTGAGCCACGTGCTTGTGTGCTGGTTGCTGGTGTACAAGCTTGGGCTGGGCAACAAGGGCGCTGCCCTGGCCAATGGCATCTCATACCTGGCCAATGTGTCAATCTTGGCTATCTACATCAGGGTCTCTCCATCCTGCAGGAGCACCTGGACAGGCCTCTCAAAGGAGGCGTTTCACGACATCCTTAGCTTCATGAAGCTAGCCGTGCCATCTGCGCTGATGGTTTGGTGAGTTTTAGTTTGTGCCCCTCAGATTTGCAGGTAGATTTTTTTCGCGCTCCATCTTCGACTGAATCTGATCCTACATGTACACAGCCTAGAGTGGTGGTCGTTTGAGCTGCTGGTACTTCTCTCCGGACTTCTCCCTAATCCCAAGCTGGAGGCATCGGTGTTGTCCATTTGGTGAGTTGCAGTTTTTCAGGGAGTATTTCACATTCTGTATGTCCTGTACTGACGGGAAATATGGAACTGCTTGCAGCTTGAACACATCTTCATTAGCATTCATGATCCCCTTCGGTCTTGGGGCAGCCATAAGGTACGACCGAACAACTCTGTCTCATAACCTTTTGCCATGCCTGCACTACTACTTTATCGTACAGTCATTTTGGCAATGAAACTGTGTATCTTGTCATTGTAGCACCCGTGTTTCAAACGAGCTTGGTGCTGGGCGACCTGAAGCTGCCCGTCTGGCTACTCGTGTGACCATGGTTCTGGGTCTCGTGACAGGTGTGTCGTTAGGACTTATTATGATCTCGGTGCGCAATCTATGGGGGTATGCGTACAGCAACGAGAAGGAGGTGGCAGAGTACATTGCGAGAATGATGCCGCTTCTCTCTGTGTCGATCATTTTTGACGATCTGCAATGCGTTCTTTCAGGTAAATATAGACGATACACCAAATAACACAATTCCATGTACTTGACTTGCAAGACCATTTCCTGAATTTCAACTCTAGTCTTATCTTCTTGCCTCGTATCATTTGGATGAACATCATTGATGAATGATATGTAGCATTTTGGTGAACATTACTCTCAAGATACCTGATCGTAGAGTGGGGTACTTGATATATTCCAGGTATTGTCAGGGGCTGTGGCTTGCAAAGGGTTGGTGCTTGTGTCAATCTCAGTGCATACTACCTTGTCGGCATTCCAGCGGCGCTATGCTTTGCCTTTGTCTACCATCTTGGCGGCATGGTACTGATTTTACCACCCATACCATGCATACAGAAAGTTGCAGTTTCACCTCTATTTCATTCTCATGTGAAGAAACCTCTCAAAACATATGTAATGGTATGAACTCCAGGGGCTGTGGTTCGGAATAATCTGCGGGATAGTGGTACAGATGCTGCTGCTGCTGGGCATTACCATGCGCACCAACTGGGATAAAGAGGTAAGGCAAATCAAACCAAAGCCTCTGCCACGCATTACGCATTATTTCGTCGGTTGGCTTCTTGGTGTCTCGAATTCTTATAGCGTGTGGCTCATCATCTTCCATTTCTCCTCCCTAGGCTCTCAAGGCAACGGACAGAGTTTTCAGTTCGTCTCTGCCTCTAGACATGACGACATGAACATGGAACATGATGCATAATTGCTCTTGGCCAGGACCAGGATGCTGGTTGGGCAAAGGAGATAAGGAACTCGTTAAGAATTTAGAGTTAAAGAATTTAGAATTGGTCAAGGCTTCGTCTCCATGTCACCAACATGGCGCTTCCTCTATGGAAACATCACCCGACGAAATGATCTGTTTTGGTGGTTTTTGTCGAAGGCATGAGATGGGATGGATGTTTTTACAGGCAAATGCATGCCACTCACTTGATACGGTATGGGAATAAATCAATAAAGCAAAAATGTGGTGTTTACTGGAAAGTCCGTGAGATAAACGCACCATTCATCATTGAACTCTCGCGGGATGAGCACATTGGCCACACGTCCCAAAATGTGTAAAAATGGTCACTTTGGTTTGTTTCATGAGCAAATGGGTCAGTCCCCGTTTCCAGCCGTAATGGGCCTACTTGGCTTGCTGACTCAGTGTGGGACACACTGTCAGAATTTTGTCGGCTAGGAAAAATCGTACAGGAGGGACTCGTTTTATTCAATGCGGCCCTTTAGGTTATTGTTTTGTTTTTTTTCCGCAAAAATGGCCGTCGGTTCTCCGTCAAAATCCCCAATTCACCCAAATCCTGCCAAATCCCTAGCTCTTCTTCTCACTCGGCCATCTCTCTCAATCTGACACTGCCGCCACCTAGCTCGAGATGGACCAGTTCCAGGGAGAGAGCTGACGGCCAGAGAACAGAGATGACCAGATGCGAGGCGAGACCTCTGCAGGTGCACCTTGTCCACCTTGTCCTGATTTGCCACCCTGCATCCCAAAATATATTGCAAGTCTGAATGTATGCCCTCTCTGGTCAATGATCTTGCTCTCCCTCTCTTCTCCCATGCTATTTTTCTCTTGTTATTTGTGATCTCTGATGTTACATTAATTTCTTTCTACCGATGGACATGGTAATCTGCAGGGAGTGGGCATCTAGGAAGAGTGCAGTGAAAAGAATAGATGCACTGATGTTAGTAAAAAAACAGTGCAATGGCAGTTCCCAGTTTCTACGAAAACAAAGTGAAGAGGAATGACTTACTTTACGGTTATGTTTACGAAAACAAAGTCCAGTCTTGAATTGTATAGTTGATAGAGTAGTTAATTTTGGAATTTGATCCTGGCTTGCTAATTCAAATTTACTTAATTTTTAAATTCCATAAGAATTATAAACTGCATACGCGGTACAATGTTGTTCAAGACAGACTCTTTACATCTGGACAGATCATGTTGATGTGACGTAGGCTGTAAATAGCCTTACAATCTTGAAGCTAGACAACATTTTGATCCTTATAGCCTTTGTTTCCTCAAGTGTATCAACTGATTCCTTGTATTCTTTCTGCTCTAGCATATTTACATGTATCCTTAAATGTTGCTTCTTTTTCCTTGAGATGCTAGACCGCAGTGTTTTTTTTCCACTACAATGATGTATATTTTCTGATTTCATTTGTTGTTGATGCAGTGGAAAGCGGGATCAACAGCTGAATATTGTTATGATAATACTTTTCTTGCTGGTGTGTGCTTTTATCAGTTAAAATGCATGTTTCTCAAGAGACACAAACTGCAATTGATTCAGAATGAGAGTAGGAACTTTCGCCTTTGCTTCTGCCACATACTTTTGTATATTGACATTCAACTGTTTTGGTCGTTCCCATTTAGTTTCTAAATTCCAGTTAAGCCTTGTGGAAGTGTAGCAGATCATAAATTTGAGACATGGATCCAACTTTCTTATGGTGCATGGAGAAATACTTACCACGTCAGATTTCAGATCTGGACTTTAGACTTCAGAAGTTCCTTTGGCCCATTCTGTCAGGTCTTTATTTCTTCTTCTCTTGCATTACGTTTCAGATTTGGACTTCTCTACATTTGCTCCCTATCTTAGATCATTATTTGTTCTACTTCTTGTGCATTTTATATATGACATTCTTTGTCAACTCTTTGTTTCTTCTTCTCTTGCATTGCATTTCAGATTTGGATTTCTGTAAATTTGCTCCCTATCTTAGATGACTATTTGTTGTACTTTTTGTGCATTTTTCTATGTCGTTACATTGGTGCAGTGATTTCTTTTGCACTTCATTCTTCCTAAAAATAGCCCTACAAAAAAAAAAAAAATAGCCCTATGAAGTTTCTACACAAATTTGGAAGACATGTTTTCCTTCACTCTTTTGGAAGAATGGGCCAGATATGACACATGACGACGAGAGCTTCCAACTTTTGACTATAATAGTGCAATCATCAACGCCTGTAGCTTTCCAACTTTTGACTATAATAGGCTCTGGCTCCGGCCATAATCGAGCATGTGCTGTTAACTGTTCCATTCAATCTTGCTCGTCAGATAGTTTATTATGTCAGATATCTTGAACTTGGCTGCCAAGCTGCCGCGTTTGTCTCACATCACATGAGATTCTGTACTCCACTTGACCCAGGCATGCTGAAAATGACTGGTTCAGGGGCACGTTCAGTTCAACTTGGCTGCCAAGCGAGTTCCTCTGTTTCCTCGTGGCTTCCTTACTGAATTAATCCTCCAGTGGCGGGCCTATACAGCATTGATGAGGTTGATTATTGGTACATACGTGATAAATACGCCCTCACCTCACCCACCATCTTCAGAGCCAGAGCTTTCAAGTTTCAAGTATGTTGCCAGCCATGGAGGAGCCCCTTGTTGGGGGCAGAAGCGACACCGAGGAGACAGGAGGGCCAAAGGAGAGCTTGGTGGTGACTGAGGTTAAGAAGCAGCTCTACCTCGCCGGGCCCCTCATCGCCGGATGCCTGCTGCAGAACGTCGTGCAGATGATATCGGTCATGTTTGTCGGCCATCTCGGCGAGCTCGCCCTCTCGAGTGCCTCCATCGCCACCTCCTTTGCGAATGTCACCGGCTTCAGCTTGATGGTATGTCAATTCATCTCCTACATGTTTTGATCCTCATGGATGAACAACTGACATCGACCTGATTACCTGAATGGTTTTTTCTTTGTATCTGTTGATGATCATCTTAGGCTGGCATGGCGAGCAGCTTGGACACACTGTGTGGTCAAGCCTTCGGGGCAAAACGGTACCATCAGCTCGGCATCTACAAGCAGAGGGCGATCCTCGTGCTCACTCTGGTGAGTGTTGTGGTTGCGGTGCTCTGGGCGTACACCGGGCAGATCCTCCTGCTCTTCGGCCAGGACCCAGAGATTGCCATGGGGGCAGGGAGCTACATCCGGTGGATGATTCCGGCACTGTTCGCTTACGGACTGCTGCAGTGCCACGTCCGATTCCTCCAGACACAAAGCATCGTACTCCCGGTGATGGCGAGCGCAGGCGTGACGGCGCTGAGCCACGTGCTTGTGTGCTGGTTGCTGGTGTACAAGCTTGGGCTGGGCAACAAGGGCGCTGCCCTGGCCAATGCTGTCTCGTACCTGGCCAATGTGTCAATCTTGGCTCTCTACATCAGGGTCTCTCCATCCTGCAAGAGCACCTGGACAGGGCTCTCAAAGGAGGCGTTTCACGACATCGTCAGCTTCATGAAGCTTGCCCTGCCATCTGCACTGATGGTTTGGTGAGTTTAAGTTTGTGCCCCTCAGATTTGGAGGTGGATTTTTTTCCGCGTTCCATCTTCGACTGAACCTGATCCTACATGTGCACAGCTTAGAGTGGTGGTCGTTTGAGCTGCTGGTACTTCTCTCCGGACTTCTCGCAAATCCTAAGCTCGAGGCATCGGTGTTGTCCATTTGGTGAGTTGCATTTTTCATGGAGTATTTCACATTCTGTATGCCCTGTTCTGATGGGAAATGTGGATCTGCTTGCAGCTTAAACACGGCTTCATTAACATTCATGATCCCCTTCGGGCTTGGGGCAGCCATAAGGTACGACTGAACAACTCAGCCTCATAACCTTTTGCCATGGCTGCACTACAACTTTATCGCACAATCACTTTGGCAATTAAACCGTGTATCTTGTCATTGTAGCACCCGTGTTTCAAACGAGCTTGGTGCTGGGCGACCTGAAGCTGCCCGTCTGGCTACTCGTGTGACCATGGTTCTGGGTCTCATGACAGGTGTGACGTTAGGACTTATTATGATCTCGGTGCGCAATCTATGGGGGTATGCATACAGCAATGAGAAGGAGGTGGTGGAGTACATTGCAAGAATGATGCCGCTTCTTTCCGTGTCGATCATTTTCGACGATATGCAATGTGTTCTTTCAGGTAAATATAGATGATGCACCAAATAACACAAGTTCCAAGTACTTGCAGACCATTTCCTGAATTTCTACTCTAGTCTATCTTCTTGCCTCGTATCATTTCGATGAGCATCATTGATGAGCGATATGTAGCATCTCGGTGAACATTACTCTCAAGATACTGATTGCAGCGTGTGGTATATATACTTGATATTCCAGGTGTCGTTAGGGGCTGTGGCCTGCAAAGGATTGGAGCTTGTGTCAATCTCAGTGCATACTACCTTGTCGGCATCCCAGCGGCGCTATGCTTTGCCTTTGTCTTCCATCTTGGCGGAATGGTACTGATTTCACCACCCACACCATACCATAACATACCATACCATACAGAAAGTTGCAGTTTCACTTGTACATATTTCTCATCTGAAGAAACCTCTCAAAACTAACTTATGGGTCTGAACTTCAGGGGCTGTGGTTTGGAATAATCTGCGGATTAATCGTGCAGATGCTGCTGCTGCTGGCCATCACCATGCGGACCAACTGGGACAAAGAGGTAGGCAAAGCAAATCAAACCAAAACATCTGCCACGCATACGCTTTGTTCCATTGGTCGGCTTCTCGGTGTCTCGAATTCTTGTAGTGTGTGGCTCATCATCTTCCATTTCTCCTCTGTAGGCTCTCAAGGCAAAGGACAGAGTTTTCAATTCGTCGCTACCTCTAGACATGACATCATGAACATGGAACAAGATGCACAATTGCTCTTGGCCAGGACCAGGGCGCTGACTGGGCAAAGGAGGCAAGGAACTCGTGAAGAATTAATTGGTCATCACTTAGTCTCCATGTCACCAGCATGGCGCTTTCTTGAAGGAAATGTCACCCGACGAATGGTCTGTTTTGGTGATTTTTGTCCAACACATGAGATAGAAATAGAATGGATGTTCTCACAGGCAAAGGCATGGCACTCAGTCGATACGGTATAAGGGAATAAATCAATGAAGAAAAAATGTGGTGTTTACTAGAAAATATGCAGTATGGATGCAACATTTTCCCTTTGAGAATTTAGTAGAGTAGATTATTATTTTCTTGGTAACAAAATATTAGGTTGTTTTGTCTCGGTGGTCGCTGATGTGGAAAAACTGAATTACTACACTGCCCAACGACAAGGAAGTGGTGGAATATGGGCGGAGGCAATTCCATCGTCTAGATTTGCCAAGGATCACTTGATCAAGTACATGATGAATTTGTGACACGTTTTGGGGTAAAAGTATTGGGCAGACGATGGAATTTGTGACAAGTTAAAAAAAGCAGAATCCATTTTAGTGGACCGGGATGACATCGGCAAACTGATGGGGCCTATCAAGTAATAGAACTCATTCCCCTAAAAAAGAAGGAAAACACTTGGCATCAACTGGCGGATCACACGTGAGCATCCGCCGGCTCATTCGTACGACACGTGTCCTGCCCAAGCGGTTCTTTTTCTTTCTTTCTTTCGATCAACGTGACCCCTGCTTATTGCTCACTGTCTGCTATGACCAGTTTCCGTAGCAAGGTCTCTGTTACAAAAACTATAGTAAACCTTTGTTGCACAAAAATTAAATTTGCAATGAGACCCCTATTGCAAAAAATAAAAATAAAAATTAGAACAAGACGTCTGTTGCAACAAAAAGTAACAAGATCTCTGTTAAATGATAAAAGGTGATGCTCGATCACTTAATGCATCAGATTCGACGGCTCGTGAGGTGGTGGATCTTTTAAAAAGATCCTCCGGTCTACGCGTAGCACCGCCCAAAAAAGAAGCAATAAAACACATTTGTCACTTGATCAAATGCTTTGTTCTAAAAAACAAAAAACTGATCCACTGTCTGTGTACATAGGGGGTCTTCTCCACGATCGGTCATCCAAATCACCAATTAACCAATTAATAAACGTTGGTTTACTCCTTCTCTTGAGCGCACTTGATGTTTGCTATGCAAGGGTGAATGGGTGCACATTGCATTAGGTTTCTTTTTGGGCATTGCACATTGCATTAGTTTGTTGGGTCACTTTTGACTTTCCTTTGCTATGCAAATTTTAGAACTCACGCGAGTCTTTCGTTTTCGGTCTTTTGGGGGAACGGGGAACATTAAGTGTTTTTTAGGTTTTCTTTTTGAGAGAAAAGTATTTTTTGGATAGGAGAGAAGATATTGTGCTATGTTATATGGACAACTTGTTTGAGTTGAACAAAAAAAAAACATATCCTTTATGACGTTCCTCTGAATTTGTGTCACTTTTGTTCTTAACCAGCATCAAATTTTACATTTAATGGGGAACCGGGGAATACATCAAAACTCCCATGGGAGTCTGAGGGACCCTTGTGTCCTTTGCACTTCAAGATCAATCGTTTTGTGCTATGTGTGTTGATTTGCGTTTCTTGTTCCCTATGGTATATCTACAATGGATATTTGCATTGCTTAGGCTTGAGCACTAGTTGTTGTCTAGTCTGGTACATTGCACTAGGAACTACTAT